CGGAGACTCGGGGACCGCTTTGCAGAACACCTACGCTCGGTTCGCAACAAACAACTGCACCTCCCAGTCGCGAACCATTTCAACTCCCCCTCCCATTCCTCAGACGACATGTCCATCCTGGGCCTCCTGCAGTGCCACAACGATGCCACCCGAAGGTTGCAGGAACAGCAACTCATATTCCGCTTGGGAACCCTGCAGCCCAATGGTATCAATGTGGATTTCACAAGCTTCAAAATCTCCCCTCCCCCTACCGCATCCCAAAACCAGTCCAGCTCGTCCCTGCCTCCCTAACCTGTTCTTCCTCCCACCTATCCCCTCCTCCCACCTCAAGCCGCACCTCCATCTCCTGCCGACTAACCTCATGCTGCCCCCTTGACCAGTCCGTCCTCCCTGGACTGACCTATCCCCTCCCTAACTCCCCACCTACACTCACCTTTACTGACCCCATCCCCGCCTCTTCGACCTGTTTGTTTCCTCTCCACCTATCCTCTCCTCTATCCCTCTTCTATCCGCCTCCCACTCTCTCCCTATTTATTTCAGAACCCCCTTCCCCTCCCCCTTTTCTGATGAAGGGTCTAGGCCCGAAACGTCAGCCTCTCTGCTCCTATGATGCTGCTTGGCCTGCTGTGTTCATCCAGCCCTGCACCTTGTTGTCACAGAGACAGGGAGAATGTGCAAACTCCTCAAAGACAGTCGTCCGAGGCTAATATAAATATTTCCTGCCTCGCCTCCCACAGCAGCCCAGGATACAATTCATCTGGGCCAGGGGATTTGTCTGCTTTTAAGCCCAACAGAGCCTCCAATAACACCCCCCCAGCCCCATTTAAGAACTTGCATCTCTATCGCATCTTCCATGACTTCACGATATACTAAAAGGATTTCACAGCCAAAGTCCTCTAGTTAAGGTTCAGCTGACTACAAATTGGTAATTACACCTGGAGGATTCTAACAAATCTTTTGACTCAACAGCAGACTGGTTTTACACACTGAGCAATGGAGTATTTAGCTTCCTATAATTCTTCCTGACAATTCAGGAAGCTCCCAGATAAAATTTGCTCAGTACTTGACAAATGATTCATTGAGTTATAAAGGAGGGTCACTGGACCCGAAATATTAACCCTGCTTTCTCTCCGCAGATGCTGCCACACTTGCTGAGATTTTCCAGCGATTTTTGGTTTTGTTTCTGATTTCCAGCATCCACAGTTCTTTGGTTGTTTTGATTTATTTGTTAGTGTCCACAGATTTCGCTTCAGGTTTTCCTTTAGCAACTATTCAAAATACAGCCCAAGGAAACGCCCCTGAAGTATTCCTTTGTCTGCCAAAATCAAGATTAAATGGCCCAGGTCCCTCTCAAAGATGCATTAAGTAGCTAGCCCCAGAAGTAGAGTCGTAGAGATATACAGCATGGAAACAGTCCCTTCAGTCCAACTTGTCCAGATATCCTAAATTAATCTAGCCCCATTTGCCAGCAATTGGCCCATATCCCTCTAAACCCTTCCTATTCATGTATCCATCCAGATGCCTTTTAAATGTTATAATTGTACCAGCCTCCACCCCTTCCTCTGGCATCTCATTCCACACATGCACCATCCACTGCGTGAAAAAGTTGCCCCTTGGGTCCCTTTTATATCTTGCCCCTCTCACCTTAAATCTATTCCCTCTAGTTTTGGGCTCCCCTAAGCTGAGGAAAAGACCTTGACTATCTCAAATAATTGAACTATAACACTGAGTTTGACTAACACACTAGCTGAATGTTGCCTTGCCTCCAAGGCAACTGAATCAAGCACTATGGACTATACCAGACCTCCCAAAGTGTGTTATGTAGATAGCCTAGACACTAACTTTTATATTTTTTTTGAAAAGGCAAATGTAAGGTGCTGTGTTCCAGATATGATTGGATTGGTCAACCACTAATCTACAATCAAAACACACTTTATTCTTACAACGCAGTTAAATACAAAAAAAAAGAACTTGCATAACTTTACTCAATGGAAATACTTCACAAAATAATGTGTTAATTAACCATTAGTGATCAACTGCTCCAATGTAGGCAGCATCCCAGACACACACACTCGACAAAGGTAATTCAGCATCAGAGTTATTATTCTCACGTGCTGTCTCTCTCCAGTCCGGTAGAAAGAAACAATCTGCTCCGTTTGATGCTTAAGAGGAAGCCTCTCTGTCTAAGACTTCGCTCTAGCAGCAGAGAACTCATGCTTTCAGCTCCAGCAGCCAGCAAAATACCCACTCAACTCACTGGAAGCAAGACTAAAGTTTTTGTTTGAGTCTGTGTGAGCCTGACGCCACCCACTCATGATTCTTTTCTCTTACTTTGAAAAAATACCCTTAGAGAGAAGTCAAAGGTGTTTACCAACTGCCTGTTTGAAGGAGATAGTTGAGGACCACTGTGACAACACCCACTGCACAAGAAACAGAGCAGAGCACATCTTAAAGGTACAGTATTATCACACAAGCTACCTCATTTAACATTTGTATTGTACACCTCACTACACTTTACTCTCAACCTGCTCCCCAAAGCCCAATCATAATGAGAATGCCATGAGACCCAGGCCCATATTTACCCTTGACTGTGCTAGACAGCTGGCTGGTAAACTGTCACAGTGATGAAAGCCACCAGATCAGATACTCAGCACTCTAACCCAGCAATTGGGACTGCTCTCAATTACTGGAAGGTGGGTAATCTTCGAGCAGACCAAAATTGGGGGACCAATGCAGAGACATCAGGCAAACAAATAGGCAAATGATGAAAAGCTGAATGGAACAGAGGACGGTGAGAGAAGATTCTGCCTTCACTGACAGATCCCAACTTTATGACAACACATCAAAAAATGAGAAAAGTCATGTGCATTTTTCAAGAAACAAAATAAATAGCAGAAGTTTAAACAACAGAACCGGACCTTAGGATCAAATGAAGTTATAAACTACAAAGCTGGAGCATTTTCAGACTGTTACATGAACACCCCACACCACCCACCCCCCACACCCCCTCCCCCCCCACATCCTGCCACCAAAGGGGAGGGGGGCTGATGACAGCTCGAGGATCACTCTAAGGCATCCTTTCCCGTTTATGTAAGATAGTGGTTGTACCAATGACAGTAAGATTTTGCTGACAGCAGCTCTCATCAGCCCTGTGGTTAATGCTGACGCAGTGATCCCACTCAGCCTCAGCAATCACTACCATCTATGAAGAAATAACCAGTTAGTCACAAGGAAACATAACGGGTCTTGTACATTGGACGTAGCCCATACTATCCTTCCACTTAGTGATAAGGCTCACCACAGCTCGAGTTAAGAAGCAAATAAAATCCTACACTCTCTACACATTCCAATGCTTACAAAAGAGAACTCTGGAGTAGTGCTATTTCGAAGATTCATACTGTATAAATGGACACCATTTGGCACATCGCACCAATCATCTAATTAGTCCCCCTTCCTTTCCTCTTGCCTCATAACCCTGCAACATTTCCTTTTTAATGTCTACTCAACACCCTATTGAAAATTACTAGCAAATCTGTTCACACCAACATTGAAGAAGTGCATTGAAAAATTCTGCTCATTTCTCCTTTGGTTCTGATACAGTACTTTGCGTTTTCAAGAACAATTTTCTTCCTTCTGTAAGGCAAGGGTTTCAAGGTACTGCTGGCTCGAGAAGCTAATTCATAACACCCACTGTGATTTTTATTTGTCTTGCCTCAGTTTAAAACAGAAGTAAACCCCAACATTGTATTTGCCTTCCTAACTTACTGACTCAACCTGCTAGTTTACTTTAAGACAATCCTGGACGAGGACTCCCAAGTCCCTTTGCACTTCAGAATTCTGAATTTTCTCCCCATTTAGAAAATAGTCTATGAGTCTATACTTCCTACCAAAATGCATGACCTCACACTTTCCCATGTTGTATTCCATCTGTCACTTCTTTGCCCACTCTCCTAACCTGTCTAAATCCTTCTGCAGCCTCCCTGCTTCCTCAATACTATGTGAATTTCAGATTTCAAAAAGTTATTGTTAAAGTTTCGTTTTCACTGTTCCTGTTAAAGGTACGTGTCTTACAATAAAGTAGTTATTTTTACAATTACTGAAGGAATCTGGTGTCATTTACCTTTGTTCTGGCTTGCAGTAGGTCAGGTAAATTGAGTTTTAGTAGTTGCATTGAGATTTATTTTACATTTGTACATTAACAATTTGTGAAACAATGGGGTCTGATTCTTGGTGCACTCTTCCCAGTTAATACTATATTTCTTTACAGGATGAGGGTGTGACTGGCTAGACCAGCATTTATTGACCGTCCCTACTTGCCTTTAAGAAGGGGGTGGTGAGCTGCCTACTCGAACCACTGCAGCCCATGTGCTGTAGGTTGACCCACAATGCTGCTACTTTTCCTAATCTGTAGATTTGTAAATTGTGTGAATAAATTACTACTGGATTTTTGCAAAAGAAACTCAATCTGCTTGTTTGAAACCTTGGAAGGGGAGTGGGGCATTCATCCTGTCAAAACTATTCCACGATTCAATTATTTCAAATGTGACCCACCCTTGAACCCATCTCCCTCAGTAGCCTGGCAACAAAAATATTACCGTAAAGAAAGTAAAATTAGGACCACTGCAAAAATATTTATTTTACTCATACACTGATCCCTTGGTAATGGGAAGGCCTTTGGTTTTGATTTTTCCAAGTTGCACTTTCGATTTGATTCAGGGGATGCACGAGAGAAAGGGAGACCTTAGACTCTGAGCAGCGCCAGACTACGGTAGGTGGAGGTTTTTGTTTTAATCGTCTGGTTAGTGTCCTCCGTTTGCATTTATAGCTGAGCAGCGAAGCTCGAAGGTTATCTCATTTTCATTCACGGAGTAGACATTTTCCATGGCTCTGCTTAATCACATCGATTGTTTCAGACGAGTTAACTCTCCGGAACCATGTTTTACTGAATACAAACTGTAGGAGAGGAAGCTGAATTGAAACGGTTTTGCAGAAAAGGTAATTCCTGTGGGTGTTTATTTGCTCTGACTGTTGTCGAAACAGCTGCTGTGCTATCTCATCCTGCATTTAACTGGATTCTGATGTGCAGATTGTTGGAGCTTTTTTTTTGTTCCCCTCTCCCGTGGCTGCCCGTGTCCTTTTCCAATTGCACACACTTTCGATGCTGAGCCTATATAGGGATTTACTTAACCTTGAGCCAAGCCTCGTCGATAGAACCTTCTAAGCCTACACCTTTTATCATCTGAAAGGGCAAGTAGACGGGAAAGACGCCATTTCGAAGCTACACATCATCCTGATGTGTAACTAAACTGTTGCCTGGTTGAAAACCTCATTCTCCCTCCCTGTCAGCACGGAAAAAGGGAAAGAAAAGCAGTAAAAATGGAATATAACACGTACTGGTCTGACCTAACTTGTATACCTCAAAAAACGAAGCTCCAATTATTGTTTTTCATTCATTTCTTCCCCCTCTTGGCAGCTCACCAACCTGCCTCAATGGCAATTAAGAATGGTCAATAAATGTTGCCTTAGCCTGTGATATCCGTATCCCTGGAAAGAATGAGTATTAGCTTCCATCATCTGCTATGTTCTCACACAATCCTTGTTTATCTTTTCCCCTCAATTGATCCCATTTTCCTGCAAGATAGTCACTTCCAGACTGTTAGGAAATGAACAAGTGTGGGTTTCCTGCCTGTCTGCCTGGGTATGAGCTCAGTGAGGACAGGGATCTCAGAACAAACAGGCAAATCCGCAAAAACTCTGACTGTGTCTGCAGCATCAGTCACAGACAATCACCATCTCCCTTTCAGCCGCAATTTAAAAACCTCTGGGGATGGAGATTGGCAGCGGCAGCACTTTACAAATCCACTTTGTTCACCACTAGTTCCACATTGTGGGTAGTCCCTAATGCCCGTGTCTGTGCTTGTAGAAAGCTTTGTAAGCAGGCTGGTGAATTTGTTAAAGCAAATGCTGGAGAGCTGCAGGAAAGCTGAAATAAAAACTGGAAGTGTTTGAAATACTCAGCGGGTCAGGAACTGTCATGCAGACAGAATAAAAGAGAGTTAGGGTTCCAGGTTAAGGACACTTTATCAAGGCTGGGAGCTGTTTAAGATGAATCGGTTCTAAGCAAATACAGAGTTTGGCAGGGGAAGGACACCAGGAGAGATGGTTGGAAGGGTAAATGTAAGAGAGTGTAAAAGGAATGATTTATAGGCAGAAGAGATGAAGGCAAGGGTACAGAAAGTGACAATCAGTTATGGATAAGGGACATACATGCTAAGGAGGTATTAAATATCCAACAGAAAATGTGAATGGTTAAGATTTAATGTTGTTTAAATGAAGCTGGAAGGATAGAAATCATTGCTTCCTGAACGTTTTTCTATTGTGACCCTATTTGGAGGCTTGAAAATTGTCATGACTTCTCAATGAAAAGTGACAACACAGTGATCTGTGAGAGCAGTCGGGGGAGAGAGACCTATGAGATACAGTTTAAAGTGGATGAGTGTGAAGTTGTCCATTTTGCTCAGAGGAATAGAAAGACATTTATTGTCTGAATGGAGAAAAACTTCAGAGTTGCTTTGGTGCAGAGGGATCTGGGTGTCCTTGTGCATGAATCACAGAAAACAAGTACGTAAGTAAAGCATGTGATAAGGAAGTGAAATGGAATTTTTGTATTTATTGTTAAAGGAATAGGGTATAAAAGTAAGGAAGTGCTGCTGTAACTGTGCAAGGCATCCATAAGACTGCACCTGGAGTATTGCATACAATTTTGGTCCCCTTTCTTGAGGAGGGATGAAGTTGCATTGGAGGCAGTTCAGAGGAGGTTCACTAGACTGAATCCACAGATATGGGGTCTGTCTTATGCCGAGAGATTGAGTAGCTAAGGCCTATACTCTGGAGTCTAGAAGAGTGAGAGGTCTAATTGTGGTTTATAAGATTCTTAAAGAGATTGACAAAGTTAGCATAGAAAGGATGCTTCCTCATATGGGACAATATAAAACAAGAGCTCGCAGTTTTCGGATAAAGGGGGTTTAAAACAAAGATGAGAAGTTACTTCTTGCAAAGGGTCGCGAATCTAGAATTCACGACTCCAGAGTGTGGGACATTGAGTAAATTTGAGGAGGAGATAGGCAGATTTTTAATTCATAAAAGGTTGAAGGGTTATGGAGAGTGGATGGAAAGGTGGAGTTGAGGCTGAGATGAGATCTGCCATGATCATATTGGATGGCAGAGTAGGCCCAAGGGGCTGAAAGGCCTACCACTGCTCCTAGTTCCTGTGTTCTTTCTGAGAATTGATGGAGATGTGGAGGCAGGACCATTGAGGCATGTTAGAGAGGGAGTGCAGCTGTTATAATGTGGTCAGAGCTCCATGGCAACCATGGCTGCCTCAGAGCTCCCTGCCCCCACCCTGAACTTTCAGCTTGTGACCCCACTTGGGTGTCCGGAGCCCTGCTGTAGAG